GACATCCGAGATTTACTTTTGTAGTCTTCTGCATGGAAACGCAGGAGAGTCATCCTGAAAGTTATCTCCGACCTGGGCTAGCAGGACCTCCGGGTCCCTTTTTCGTTCTGCGGCGCAGTAGAAAGTCGTTCTCAAATTGCATAAAAGACGACTAACCAGATCTTTTCTCTTGTCTGTTGTGCATTCCGGTGGAGATGAAAAAATGTTGAGTTTTCCTGCTGCACCACTAGAAGAGATTTTTCTGTTGATGTGGTGGCGATATATGGAGAATCTCCGCCCGAAATTTTGGGAAGGTGATGCCGCCTTTACTCGAAAATGAGCTGACTTTTTGTAGCCCTTTATTTGCCTGATTTAGCATTTACACATGATGATGATGTGTTTGTACGTACGTTTTGTTTAAAGTAATAAAAATTTTGATGTTGCTTATGAGCTGTGATTTTGCTTTTACTTATGGGGTGTTTTTGCCCCACTTCTGGGTTGCATATTGGTGTCGACCTCTTTTGAGGATTATGCCTTTTGAGGTTTTTTGGCTTTTCAAACATGCGAAAGTCTGTAATCAAAGTTAGCACGTCTATTTATATAAAAATAGAATCACATCCTTTTTTAGAATCTCGTGCCTTCTGAGGCTGTGCCTTCTCAGGCCTATATTTCTTAGGCTTATGTCTTATAAGAGCTTGAAATGAATTGATGCCTTCTGAGGCTCGTTGTCTTCTGTTATTTTTGATGTATTTTTGCTTTCTGAGGCTTGTAGCCTTTTGAGGTCTTTGATGTACCTATGTCTTTTGAGGTTTGTAGCCTTCTGAGGTCTTTGCTATACATGTGTCTTTTGAGGCTTGCAACCTTCTAAGGTTTTTGATGTATATGTGCTTTCGGAGGCTTGTTGTCTTCTACGGGGTTTGAGTGAAGACCCTGTTAACCACTTGCTCTCTTGGAGTCTTTCTATTGTGGACCCTGTCCACTACTAGCTTCTCATCTAGATTCGTCTTTTGTTTGTTTTCGAGGGGAATGGTAGCTTCTATCGAGTCTTGCTTATTGGGCTCAACTTCTAGCGGTATCGTATCTTCCCATCGAGTTTTGCCTTTTAGGCTTGACTTCTGGGGGCATGGTAGCTTCC